GACAGTTTGTGCTTATAGTTTACATCGGGATTAGACCTTAAGGCTTGTTAACGATCGATATCGTCGATAACGATAATTAGACAATATTTTGCTGAGTGTGTTATTGTGCTGGTACCTTAAGGACTGCCGTGGACAGCTGACTCCTAAAGTTTTTAATATTCTTCATATTCTGTGTGGGGGTCAGTTCAAACTGAGAGAAATTAATCTTTCGTGCTTGTCTATATAACTCTCTCTCCTTACGAGAGCAGCCAAAGTCCATTTTCCTTGGCACTATATTACTAATAGCGACAAGCTGAATAAAACCTTGTCAAATTTAGTTACAGAAAAATGACAGTTTGTGCTTATAGTTTACATCGGGATTAGACCTTAAGGCTTGTTAACGATCGATATCGTCGATAACGATAATTAGACAATATTTTGCTGAGTGTGTTATTGTGCTGGTACCTTAAGGACTGCCGTGGACAGCTGACTCCTAAAGTTTTTAATATTCTTCATATTCTGTGTGGGGGTCAGTTCAAACTGAGAGAAATTAATCTTTTCCAAGAAGTTGAAACTTACTTTTACATTTTATGGGCATTTTTACCTTTATAAAGCCATTTTTTCTAAAAGTGTCCATTATCTTTTAAGTGAACTTCTTACATTTAATCAGTGAATTAGAATAAGACATTTGGGCTGTTACCAAGCAAATGAAATCAACACAGAAGCTGCATCTGAAGTGGCATTTAGATGTATTTACACACTGTTTAATGCAAGACATGAATGCATTTAACCTGCAATTACAAATGCATAAATAATGTTTTGATATATTAAACATAAAACGTTGAATACTGATATTTGAAATTATTTAAAGCTGCAGTCCGTAAGTTTTGCCTCTTTGTCGCCATCTCTGTTTGAAAACCTGGAATTGCAGCTGGGTGCGGAATTATCTAGTTTGCGTGGGTTGTGAGTCGGCACGGCTCCAGCGCAGATGAATCTAATGTTCTGAAGAGTATGTGTGGCAGTCAGTCACCGCACCGGTGTGGATATTTACTGTACTTCACAGGTGGCAGCAAGTCACTGTTAATAAGTGAGTCATTGCGATTGAAACAAATCATTTAAATGGTTGATTCATTCAGGAACGAAACAGCGTCATGTTGCTCAGAGAAGCAAAACAGGGTTGTGGCTTTGTTTGGAATTATTTTTGTTGTCGAAATAGAGCAAAAACAGGCAATATGGTGTCTAAAACGTAAGTCTTTTAATTAACTTCTTGTTTATTGAACTGTTGTAAAAAATCTATATCACATTTGTAATCATGGTAATATTTGGATAAAAACGCCACTCTTCGTGTGAAATTGATTATTAACTATTTGAAATTGTATAAATATATAAATTTTCTGCCATGATGTCTTGAATTTGTGATCATTCTAAATGTATTGTAATAGACTGAATCATCTAGTGAAAGAACACACTCTAAATGCGCACGTGCACTAGTGCTGTGTTCAAAATATCGATACGACGATGTATCGTCACAGAGATTTGACGATACGAGTAATGATACAGCTGGCCCTGTATCGATATTGTGGCACATGTGCAGCAGTGGACCGCGCTTAATTTGTAAAAAATTTTACAACGTTTAAAATTGAGTAGAAAAGAGCGAGGTTTCTAAGAAAGAATGAATAGAGCATAATATATAGGCTACAACAAGGTTTAATCTGGCCGCAGAAGAACACAACGGGGTTGCCTGATATAAAGAGATGGAATCCCCGAAACGGAGCTTCACACTTGCGCAATACGGAAATATCTGCTAAGTGTGCCACTTATCTTTGTCAACCTGGCAACCCTGTGCACACGCGCTCTCTCTCTCCACTGTGGATAAACCATAGAAAGCACTTGCTTTCTGAAAACAGCGGTTAGCTTGCAGTTTAGCGATCTCCACTTCAATAATTTATTATCAGAAAAGTGTAATTCATCAACTGTTCATTTATGACACACACACACAAAGAGAGAGAGAGGCTGTGTATGTATGAATTACCACCGTTTTGCCACGTTTCTCTATTAACAGTAAAGCTGTGGCTTTAATTCCTTTAGAAACAATGATGTTACCAGCTCCTTGTTGAAAAAGATAATGTAGCTCTTGAGCGATTAAGCTATTTAGTTGATAAAACTGCGGGGCAGTGCTAAAAAGTTTGTTCCTGAATGTCTGAGTGCGGCCGCAGCGTGATCTGTGTGTGTGACTGAACTTAACATCAAACTGCTTCTGTTTCACACAAATGCTGGCACAGACGTGCATGTTTGGCTAGAATCGCTTTGAACTCGTGCATCTTCGGAAGCGGAGCTGCACGGACAGTCCTGCCGCGCGCACCTAAGCGAACTTGCGGACGCGTCGAGTAAATCAGCCTTGTGTGCGTTAAATACAGTGAAGATAGAAGTTAGTTTAGAACTCTTCTAATTTTTTTTAATCGTAGAGAGTGTGTTAATTTGTGCAATGATAACCTACCAGCAATGTAAATTATTTTTTAAACATATTAGAATGAGTACATTACAATATACATTTATTAGAACGAGTACATTATAATTTATGGGCTTAAAAACAAGATACAAACAATCTGAATATTGTATCTGGTTGGGAGTGCACAATGTAAACATGAAACATATGCCATTACCTATTTTGTACTGTGGTACAGTTCTGGAGGCCCTTCAGGTCAGCTGCCTGCTCTGCCAATAGTTAGAAATGGCACTATAATAAGCAGTGCTTAATAAACAGCTGTTTTTCTAAATTCTGCACGTGCACTAGTCTAGACTTTACGTAATGTATGCGTGCACTCTATAGGGGTGTTTTGAATGGTTTTTGCAAAGTACTCGATAATGTCAAATCGCACATCATTAAAACAACAATTACGATATTATCGCAGACGATATATATCGCACACCCCTAATAGCAAAATGTGTAAACACACTGACACAAGCACATGTGCACCTGCATGCTGGAAGGATAAGATCGGGTCCACTGGGAGGTGTAGGGGGTTATAGAGGTGGGGCAAAATGGGTGGAGTGGGGGAGGGGAGGTATTCACAGACGGCATCTGCTGTAATAGGGTGGTGTGAGTTTGGGTGTGTGTTGTGGTAATGCAAACTGTTGAAGATAGAAGATGTGACCACATTTTCAGGATTGAGGGGATTTCAAATGTAATTTAAAACGGAACCTTAACTGAAAACTGGGGTGGGGGGGCTGGGGGCTATCCCCATCAAGGATTGGGTGGCTATGGCCCTCTATACTCAACTTTTATAAATGTTTAATATAAATGGTTAGACATTTATGGCCTACAATGTGTTCAGACAGGCGGAAGACTACAGACAGAGGGCGCTAGAGACAGACAGTGATAAGGGAAAGAGATGCTCACATGGACCAGAGCATGACTTAGGTGAACAGAGGCTTGAGAATGAAACAGCATCTCTTAACTGTGAGAATGTTGGAGAACAGCCACACAGAATACACACATATTTGTGTTATATAGTCCTTGTGCATACTCAGTTTAAACATTCATATGCTCATATAAATCAAATTTATAATCTTGTTTGCATTTTCAGTTCTTCACACAGTGTGTGTGTGTGCGCGTGTGTGTGTGTGTGTGTGTGAGTATGCGTGTGTGTGTGAGTATGCGTGTGTGTCAGTGTATGTGTGTGTGTAGGCTTCGTGAGCCCAGAACTGACTAGAAACACACCTGACCCACACTTCTTCTGACCTAGAGTTTCCAGAGTGATCCACGCACACAACGCAGAAATTCTCATCATCAGACGAATCCTCATCATAAGGGTTTGAGAATGAAACAGCATCTCTTAACTGTGAGAATGTTGGAGAACAGCCACACAGAATACACACATATTTGTGTTATATAGTCCTTATGCATACTCAGTTTAAACATTCATATGCTCATATAAATAAAATGTATAATCTTGTTTGCATTTTCAGTTCTTCACACAGTGTGTGCGTGTGCGCGTGTGTGTGTATATATATATATATATATATATATATATATATATATATATACTTTCTCTTCCTCAAAGAATCCTGAAAAAAAGATCACAGTATCCACAAAAATATTAAGCAGCACAAATAGTTTGGAAGAAATGTTAAGCACCAAATCAGCATATTACAATGATTTCTAAAGGAAAATTTAGCTTTGCCAGCACAAGAATAAATTACATTTTTTTAATATTTAAAAATATAAAACTATAAAATTGAAAACAGCTATTTTAAATTTGAATACTATTTCCCAATATTACTGTTTTTACAGTATGTTTGATGAAATGAATGCATGGTGAGCATAAGAGACTTCAAAAACATAAAAAAAATATTACCCACCACAAACATTTAAATGGTAGTGTACAGTATATAATTTTACATTTATAGTTTTATTTAAAAAAAATATATATATATTTTTAAACGTATTATTAAGTATTTATTTTAATATTATTTTAAATCAAGTAAAATTCAAGGACATGTTCCTCACAAAATCATCATCAACCCCTTTATTATATGTAATTGAAACTGCAGCTGGTATTTTTGTGAGAGGAACAGATTTTTTTCAGTCCACCCAACCTTTTTTTTTTTTTGTCTTTTCATTAGTAATCTAAAGAGAGAGACCCACCTCCTCATATTAAATTAATCCCCAACCCTCACACAAACACAGAGCCTCTCTCTCCTCCCCTCCTCCTCTGTTACAAGTCAGTGTATTGAGTGCTGGCTCCTCCTTTCATGGGGCAGCTACTGTTTCTGTCAGATGTAATGTCACATTGATTGATTTGCCACAGAGAGAAACAGGCAAATAGCCAGGCACGGGCTGCCAGCTGAGCCTCAACGTTTACATCTACAAATGTAACCATGAAGAAACTGTATCTCAGTCATGTTCTTATGGACAGCTTCCTGTATTTAGCACCCAACTCCCCATTAATCCAGTTCCTTTCTGTTCTGACAGGAGCGGCACACTGCACCATAACAAGGTAAGCTCTGTGCTTGTGTGTGTTCGTGTATGTGAATTCCCAGTGAGGACGCTGACAGAAGCAATGAACCGCTCGCCATGTGACATGCAGCAGTGCCCACGGGATTGGCTGAGCTGAACGATGACCTCAGCAAGCTATCCTCCCTCCCTTCCTCTCTCCCTTCCTCTCTCCCTCCCTCCCTCCCTCCTTCTCTCTCTGTCTCTCTCCACTCTGCTTTTTTTCCTGCCCTCTTTTGAGCATCCTTTGGTGATCGTGTAGACCACAGCCGCAGTGGCTAGCAGCAGCATCCATGGCCTAAACGTGAAGCCCTAAAACATCCACCGGCCCGTCGTACCAGGGACACGGGACTTAAAAGCTGAGGCTGGAAGTGTGCTCTGTTTTTTTTTTTTTTTTTACATCTCTCCATCTGGTAACCAGGGGCTTCTCTTCTCCCCTCTTCCCGTTTCAGGCTCCTTGGAGATAGAGGAATGCAAATCTGCAATCATGATGGAAGGTGAGGGCTTGGTCTATTTTTATCTTATTGCCTTTCGTTACACGTACGGCCCGGCGTGTGCTGGCTTTATAAGCTGGCCGCCTATTTTGAGTGGCTTGACATTCCGGTAACTCAATATAGAACTGAAGGTGCTGGATATCTCAAATATAGACACACATCATCACATGCACACACATCTCATATATGTATTTGTACTCTATTGTACAGGCATACATCCTGTTTTTTTTTCTTTGTGCTTTCACCTCACCCCCCTTTAGATGGCTTGTCTTTGTAAAGGATTATTTGGATTTTGCAGTTACGGCTTATGTGCCCAGCTGGCCGCCTCTGAATTCTCTTTGTATGTAGAGTTCACACACATACTCACGTATACATCATTCTGTAACGCGGCACTCGTTTTTAATCGTGCCTGCTCAAGGCCGCTTCTTTAAAGGGAGGTGATCATGTGTGTAATTCAGTGTGTGCATGTGAACGGCGCTGTCAGCTGTGTTTTGGAGGGAGAAACAGGGATGGTTTGATTCACAAGTGTGATGGAGGTTTTTATGTAACTGTCGGCCTGACGAGAACATATAATTTATTTATAACATTGGATCAGATAAACTCAGTATCATGTCACCTGTTCCCAAACACTGTTGTCTGTCCTTTTGCATGACTGGTTCGTGTCGTTTCTGATGTACAATCATGCTGGATCAAATCTAATGGTTGAAATCAGAAGAATAATGATCAGTTAAGGGGATTTAAGCATGAATTGTTTGTACAGTTTACCCTGACTAGAATAAAATGGCACATATTCTTTGTGAAATCAGATTATGTGTGTCATCCACCCCTTTTATATGGATTACAACATGTTATGCAATTTATTGAGGCATGTGGAGAAACGTCAGGACAAACCATTTGCTACTTCCTCATTCACTCATTCTGTATAACATTGAGTGTGGGTTGTGTATATGTAATATGTTTATGTATATATAATCTTTTTAATTCACTATATATTATGGCAAATATGCAAATATTATGCAGATTTTATCTGCATTTTGGTTACCAAATGTCCCTATAAGGACAGTAAAATCACTAATATTGAGAAATCACTTAAATTATGTCTTAATGAAACTATAAAACTGCAGAATGGTTCCTGTGAGGGATGGATTTAGGGTTAGGAGATATAAGTTATCATTTGCTCAGTATAAGAACTCGAGTCACTCATCTTGATAGAAAACCAAATGTGACAGATCTCAGGCCTTTAGGTGTTAGGTAACACAGTAGCAAAAGTGATAGCGACTGTCACTGTAGCCTCAAATAGATGTGACATAGAGGTGAATCTCTTAGTGTGGCTAGTACAGGCTTAGCCATGCGTGGATTACCTGAAGGTGTAAAATAGGAAGGTAATCCACCTGGTGTTTTTTTTTTTAATGATGCTTTCAGCCTGCTTCAACTCTCAAGTTATTTTTGCCTCTAATCTTGTCTGGTCGAAGTTGCCATGTCCACCTTGTTGAATTGTGAAAAAAAGATAGTTTGAAGTAGGTTAATATGCATGTAGGGCTGCTAAGATACTCTTTTTTTTTTTTTTTAGTAGAAAGGCTTTCCCAGACTTATTTTGAGTCAGAGGTCAAGTATTTATCAGCCATTTGTTTATGGTGCACTTAGAATTGGTTGTTTCTCTTTCTTTCATTTAGTTAATTAATTGTGTGACGTGTTACATTACAGGGATATTTTGAAAGAATTATTGACCCTCTTATTGGTTCCTCATGTAGAGTCAACGTTTTTCCTCTCATCTCAAACCTTTTCAAAGATCATTAAACATAAATGTCAGCTATATGGAACTCCAAAACAGATCATTTTAGATACTTGAGTATATAACAAAAGGAATCTGACAATATAATATTGCTGTTTCTTATGTCATGACTTGACATGACATGAAAAATATTGTAAGAAGTTTAAGTTAACATAATTAATACTTTTGTTTTATCATATCTTCAAGATGCTAGTGTTGTTTTTACACTCGCTCAATGGCATCTGGTGCAGTCTAAATGTTCTCGTGCACAATAACCACATTTTTGACCGTTAAATGCTTTTGTCCATTATTGCAATGGCTTCTTAATAATCTATTTTTTGAAGGGAAAAAAACAATTAGTCTGTGTCATTATGACTTTGCTACTCAGTTGACACCAATTGTTAGTGACCCTGGCAATGTATGGGTGGGGTTCGACAGAGCTTTTAAATAGAAGGGTTGCCATATAGACTGCTTTAAATAGTGTTAGTGGTAGTGATAGTATTTCCTGTACAGCAGAGGTTTGGCTCCACCCAACAGCATGTCAGGGATATAAGAAGGGATTTTCACAGAATTTTGATTATAAAATTAGTCATGTAGAATGGTAAATAAATAGATTGTTAAGAGCAAAATATCACACTGCTTTAAAAAAAAGGCCTATAATAATATTGTTAGATATTTTTGCTACTTTTAAAGCAGTATGATTGTTGTTATTTGTAGCCTATATAAGGAAGAGTAGCAAATGTCATATCAGTACTATGCAGGATGTGCAAATTTTTGAAGTGCAATGAATAATATTTTTTTAATCATGACGCTATGTTGATTTTTAAGTTTATAACACCAAAATATATTGTTTTTAACTGTTGCAGAATTGTAGATATTCCAGTTGGTAGGAAAGTAAGGCAATGCAGAAGTGAAATGGTTAATTAGCTTCCTGTAGTCTGTTAGAGTATTAACTGAGGAGTTTTGTCTGTGTGCCATGTGGGAGTCGTAAAAGAATAATTCCATTATGTCCTCTTGATCTACTTTTAATGAATATATTAAATTGAGTAAAGACTAGCTTGAGTGCTTATTTGTTACTTTGTGTAGGAGGCTTAGAGAATTGTGTGAGTAATAACATAAATGTACGTACAGGCTTTGTTTCTGTAATATAAAGCAAACTCATCAGCCAACAAATCTAAAATATGCTATATACATTTTTGATTTACAACTCTGATGAGTGATTATGAAGCTTGGCCAATTTTAAGAAGTACAGAATAAAAGAGGTCTGTGATGTGTCTGTTAAATTAGCATTTTAGCCAATCAGAAGACTTTAAGCTGCTTTCTGCCTGTTAATCTTTGTAGGGGGCAGAGTTTGTAAAGAGGGGGCGTGTCTAATTCAGTGGCTAAATTGGCTGGAAATTCCAGAACATCTAAGAGGCCATTTACACATAACTAATTTTTGGTTTGAAAAACTTTAAAACAAATGAAATAAGGCTAGCAACTTCTACATATATAATATAATTTAATATAATATCATATAATTAGGGCTGGGCAAGTTAACGCATTATTATCGCATTAATTGATTAACGCCGACAATTATTTTATCGTGCGTTAACACCGTTTTTTTATTATTATGAAAGTCCGTTGCTCACTGTCTCTGAATACACAGACAAACCATGGGTCACGGGGGGGGGGGGGGATTTTGATCAGTACTGGCTTGGGATGGGTGTCACCACGCCAATGAGAGCATTTGGGGTTGGCCTAAGATTGCGGCAGCGCTCACATGAAGCGCTCACGACTTCAATCATAAGTGGGAAATAGGAAGTTTTCGATAGCACGTGGCGACCGCAGAGAAGCGCTCTCGCTCAGCACAGTGGAGTGCATCATTTTGTTACTTGTTGGTTTATTATTTTGAGTCGTTTGGGACGTGGTAACACACGCGGCCCTCTCACTGCTTTACAGATCTATCACTTTTGCTGCTCAGAAATGTTCAGAAGTTCAGCACTCGGGTGCGGTTAGCGTTCACACTCACTGATCTATATATAACTGAACTGCGCTCTGGCCCACCTCTTCCAATCGAGCGCGGCACGGAGCGATCACACTACATGCGTACCGCACTCTGGTCCGCCTCTTCCAACCGAGCCAGGGCCGGCTAAACGAACCGCGGCACGGAGCGATCACACTAGTCAAACGAACCGGGCTTTGGGGGTCAGACGTGCTCGGGCATGGTTGAGATTCAGGCACCTGCACACATCAAAGGGGGCTTGAGCACCTGCCCTTTTTCTTCCTCAAGAGAAAGTGCCCTTTTTTCTGGGGAGGTTTTTTTTTTGTATAAATGAATATATGTATTATGTGTGCGTGTGTTTCTGTTTGCGCACAGCTTTCCCTGTCAAAAATTAAAAAAAATATATATATATATCAGGTCGGGAGGGGAAATGTTGAGACTCTGTCGAGTTCCAATGCCTTTCTCCCCTCCGCATCTCCGCTCAGCACAGCAGTGTAGCACACATTGATCGGCACATCACAGACAGGCAGAGAGCCGCAGAAGTGAAGCCCTCCCTCCCTTCCCAGTTGTGTTTGTCTTGGTGTGGAGGTGAGTGGTGATGAACAAAAGACTAAGCTACCTGTGCCTCGAATTTACAGCTAATTATCCAAAAGACAAAAGGCAAATATAGTTATTTTGTCTTGCTATCATCCATGACTCATGAGCTACCATGTAATAAGTTAGCTAAAGTTTAGATAAGGAAATATATCATGGGCACACAGGCTAACTTAATGGAGAAACGACAGCTGAATACAGTAAAATTAATAATGTCATCAGAATCGCCACATTGATATGCAAATCAGGCATTAAGTAATTAAAATGTGCTAATTTGCATACATTTGACATAAGGCATTGCAGATGAATAGGATAAAAAAAAATAACTAAAGCATATCACCACAGAACTTCTCCAGTTATTAGTTAATGACTTACATCAAGAGTCTTTTCCCTTGAAATGTTATGTTTAAATATGCAGATAGCTTGTTTTGGTTCATTTAGAAGAACGCTACAGAAGAAAAAAGGAGAGGGTAGAAGGCTTAAAACAAACACCTTAATGTGTATTTTGGAAATGTCCTTTCCATTAGAGCAAAAGAAGACATGGAAGCAAAATAGACCAAAATCTAAAAATTGAACAGTACTTGAAGTGTCCTGCCTTAAACAATAACTTCATAATTTTGATCTCAAGGTCCTCATCTAATAACTATCCTTTCC